AAGTTATTTTTGGATTTGTGTATTTTAGGACCCGGTTAAATTTGTACCGGAACAACCGGAACAAAAAAACTCTTTACTAAACAAAGTATTGTTACCATTCATTTCTATTCCTAGTATTTTAATAGACCCAAATATGTATATACATATACTCCTTAATTTATCACTTGTGTACAAACAAAAGAAAAAAAGAAACTTGGAATCCAACGCCCAAATAATAATTGAAAGGTCTAGATTACAAGCTTATCCCTTTTTTGAAACTTCATTTAAGGATTAGAAGTTACAGGGAACCCGTTTTTTTTTTATGAAATTTTTTTATGCAAATTGTTGGTGTTATACATGATTAAATAATTTTTGTTAAACAGTAGATAAATTTTTTTTAATTTATCCTAACCTTATTCAAATACTTTTTCTTTTGTTTCCATAAAAGTTAATTGATATCAGATATAGTTAAAATATTTTTTATTACATTGTCTAAAAATATATTTAATGGAATAAAACATATGCGAGTTGTTTGTAACAGTACACTGAATATATGCAAAATTAACCTGTATTCATTCGAGATTTTGCGGATAAGAAATGAAACAGCTGTAAAAAGACACTACACTAAACTTAATAAGTTTATCTTTTAAAATTTTAAAGGTTTACAAAGAACAGTATTTAAGCAAGCATTTTTTTTAAAAAAAATGGCGACTTCAAATATGGGTACAAATTTTTATAAATTTTCCAATTGGTGGACGTGAAATTCTTACCAATTTGGTAAAAATAAAAATAAATCTGTATATATATGATGAATATTGCCAGGTAAATACATTATTTTTTTAAATACATATCTTGCTCTTGAAAATTACAAGGATAGTAAAGATTTAGAAGATGCGTGTTGCAAATCAATATTACGAAGCCGAACGAATCATAGATGAGAAAGTTACGGACGAAACAACATTCTATTTAGTGAAATGGAAAGGAATGGACAAGAATAAAAGGCCTTGGAAACCTACTTGGGTATTTATGTTATTCATCTTTTATATTTGGAGTTGTGCTGAGAACAGGGACCAAATTGTAAAAAAATTACTTTTTTGAATAAGAATTGTTCTGAATCAGACGATAAGTTACATCTATTTCACTTAGGAGAAAATGTTCAATTTGGTCCCTTTTTCCATCCACCCCATTTATCTTATTTTTAATTTGAAAACAGGTTTTTAATTAATTATATATACGTTACGTTTCATAAAAGGAGCCTGCAAGTCATTGTAATCAATTACTTATTGCTTCATGGAATCATCCGAGAGAAAGAAAATTAAGTCCTCCGACGCTTCCTAGAATTCAACCCGATGAATTACAAACAAAACGCATGATATCATTACTTGAAGTCCAATGTATTGAATTGGATATCGAATTAACACGATTAAAATCAGTCGTATATAATAATGAACAAGAAATTCACAAGTTAAGAGAAGAAACAGAAGCATTGAAAGAAACGTTAGAATCATTAAACAAACAAATAGAACAAAGTAAATCAGAACTAGAAAATTTGTCATTACTGATGCAATTTGAACTATACGAAAAACTATTAAAACTTGTTGATGAAGCAAAGTACATTTTAATTGTATAAATAGGTGAGTTGTAAATTATTCCTTATGAAA